AAAAAAAAAAAAAGAACATTGTTAAGTAATTGTAGATGTTGAACCCAAAAAAGGTGGAACAGATGACTACAATACTGAAAATGTTAACAAGTATTCAGATTATCAGAGAAAATTTTTAATATTTACTTTATATATTAGGGTAAAACAAACAAACAAACAAACATACTCCTATTGAGTGAGTTCTGACTCAGTGACCCTATAGGACAGGTAGTACTGCCCCTGTGGGTTTCTGAGACTAAGTCTTTACCGCAGTCAAACCCTGTCTTTCTTCTGTGGAGTGGTTGGTGGTTTCCGGGTGGTTAACAGTCCAACAAGTCATCACAATGCTGCCCCGGCCCCTCTAAGGTGTGCCTGCCCCAAGCCGTGGAATGTTTCATTGTCTCATATGCACGTTGGACACTGAATAAAGAACATTGAAGAATCAATACACTTGAATTGTGGTGGTCGCAAAGAACATTGGAAGTGCCATGGGCTAAAAGAACAAATATCTCTGTCCTGGAAAAAGTACAACTAGAGTGCTTCTTAGAGGAAAGGATGGCGAAGCCTTTTATCATCTACTTTAGGCATGTTCTCAGAAGAGACAACTCCCTGGAGACATCATGCTTGGTAAAGTGAAAACCCCAAAACTAAACTCACTGCCATCGAGTCAATGCTGGCTCATCACAACCACTGTGGGGTTTCTGAGACTTTAACTGTTCACAAGAGGAGAAAGCCCAATCTTTCTTCCACAGAGCTGCTGGTGGTTTCAAACCACTGACCAGGTGGATTATAGCCCAATGCATAACCACTGTACCACCAGGGCTCCTCTTGGTAAAATGAAAGAGCAGTGAAAAAGAGAAAGGCCCTCCACAAGGTAGATTGCCACAGGGGCTGCAAAAATTGGCTCAAATATAAACACAATTGTGAGGGTGGTGCAGGACCGGGTGGGGTTTTGCTCTGTTGCACATACATAACTAGGAGTTGGAACTGATTCAAGGCCACCTAACAACAACAACTAGAGTTCTAGATCATATGTAAACGATTCTATTCCAAAGAAAACACGTTTAAATGTGTCTCTGCAATCAGTGGATGGCTGTTGACAAGTTTAAACCCACTGCTATTGATTGGGTAGACTCCAACTTATAGAAACTTATGTGGGGTTCTCGAAGCTGTAAATCTTTACAGGAGCTGATAGCCTCAACTTTCTTCCATAGGAGCAGCTGGTGGGTTTGAACTGCCCAACTTGTAGTTAGCAGTTCAACCTGACAACATCATATGAAAACCCCTTCATTTTGATGTTAGTTATCTTAGTTCAAAAGGAATTTGTACCTGTGGTAGTTACATAATTTTGTGCCAACTTGATATATACAATGTACAGGTGGAATCTAACCAGTCAATCAGGCCAGACTGATGGTACCTCCATGTGGGTGTGGCCTTCTTATGAAGATCCTGGGAACCTCCCTTTCTCTCTCTGCCTTCACCTTCCTGCTGTTGAGTCACTTGGAGAGCTGCCAGAGCCATGCTGAGACCAGCACTAGTGCTGTGATGCTCCCACTGCCATTGGATCCACAAGACTTTTCACCCACCAGCCTGTGATCTTCTTGCATTCTGCATCATTGAATGTGGCTGTGTGAGTGTGAAGAAGGACTTATGGATTAGTATCAGACTTATGGACTTGAGTTGGACTGTGCTGGGATGTTTTCCTGATATACAATTACTTCTTGATATAAAACTCCTTCTTATTCATATTTCTCTAGTCAACCTGGCCTAACATAGTACCTAATCTATTGTTACTTGGATCTTAGAAATTTCTATTTAAATTCACTAGAATGAGCACTGTAAAAGTAAAACAGTCACAATCCAGGGTCTGTTCATTACAATACAGTTAACAATAAGAACACAACACTAGGGTCAACTGTACATTGACTTCTGGAGTTTTTATAAGAATTTAGAGTTAAGTCCTCTATGTTCTGCTTTAATAGAAATTTAAGACCCTATGTGTGTCACTATGTGTCAGAAACAACTTGATTGCAATGGCTTTATATACTGTTATGACAAGATCACCAGCATACTATTAAAAAGTTAGTGTAAATTCCACACTATTTTTTGTGTAAGAAACTAGAGGAAATAAAAAAAATTTGCTTGTTCGCAATGAACATTAGCAAGATGCTTCACACCATAATAAAGTTGGTTATTTAATGGATGCGAGGTGACTGAAGGTATCCATCATCAAAAAGAACACTTCAAGTTCTATTGTGAAGTACAACACTGTCAATCATAGGACACTATCTACCTATCTATATACAAAGACCGCAAATTAGTATGACTGTCATTCACATTTATGAACCAACCACTCATGCCAATGATAAAGAAACTTAAGGGTCTTACCAACTGTTATAGTCTGAAATTGATCAACTCAGCAATCAACATGCACTGAAAATTATAATTATAATTTGTAATTATAAGTAATTGTAATTTGATAGAACTATAAAGAAGGATCCACAGCTGGAAAATACAGCCTTGATGGCAGAAACAATGAAGATCACATGTGTAGGGGGAGGTCAGATGTGCAGGCATTCTCTCCCCTGAGGGCAATCAGTTGCCAGACTGCTGTCTCATTCCCACCACAGGGTGGGCCTGCTCCCTGCCTCTGGGGACAATGGACAGGCTCCTGTAGGAAGAGTTTTCACCCTAATGATAATGGTTACTATGGAGACCCAGAGACCACCCCCTAGACCACCCCCTCATTACTGTGTAACCTATAGTGCAGCTCCTCCCTGTGACGTATGTCTCTACCTGTAATTAGTGGGCTGACTTGCCCCCAAAAGGTATATAGGTGTGAGTCAGCAATATAGAGCTCTCAGACCTCTCTGATTCTCTCTGGCTCTCCTCTCTTCCCCCTCTCCCTTGTTCCCTTGCCCTCCTTCCCTTCCCCCTCTCTCCACGTGGACCACCAAGCTGGGCTGAGGTGAGCAATGCTACCATGTAATATGTCTGACTGCATTATTGTAATATCTCTCATGCTCTCAATGACTTTAATATAATACTTATATATCTCAACCGTACAATTGTGCATTACTGAACCCAGAAGTAGTATTAGTGAACCTGCGACTAATGGTGGGGGCTGGCCATTTTAATTTAATACTACACACATGATAGAATTTTGCAGAACCAACAACTCGTTCATTGCAAATACCCTTTCCTCCCCCCCACAACGTACATAGCATCTATATAGTGGTTCAAATTGACTATAACTGTGTTCAAGAAGCTCAATGTCTCCAGTCAGACCAAAGCCATGGGCCAACTCTGAAAAAAAAACCACCAAGTGTTCACATGCAAGTTCAAAGTGAAGCTGAAGAAAATTAAAACAGGTTCACAAGAACCAAAGCAGGACCTTGAGTCTATCTCGCCTGAATTTAGAGAGCACCTGAGGAATCGTTTTGATGCCCTAAACATTAATGACAGAAGACTAGGTGACTTGTGGAATGATATCAAGAGCATTTTAAATGAAGAAAGAGGTTATTTAAAAGAGGTTATTAAAAAGACACGAAAGAAATAACTAAAATGGATGTCAGAAGAAACTCTGAAATTTTATATCTAGCGCCGCTAAAGCAAATGAAAAATATAACAAAGTACAAGTACGAGTAATTTAAAAGGCATGGCTTGAGAAGAAAGCAAAGCAAAATTAAATATGCTAAGGCACTGGTTCTCAACCTTCCTAATGCCCAGACCCTTTAATACAATTCCTCATGTTGTAGTGACCCCCCCAACCATAAAATTATTTTCATTGCTACTTCATAACTATAATTTTGCTACTGTTATGAATCGGATGACCCCTGTGAAAGGGTCATTCAACCCCCAGAGGGGTCGTGACCCACAGGTTGAGGACTGCTGGTATAGAGGAAGGGCCCAGTGAGAGTAGAGCAAAGCTTTAGGATGCCTCAGAGGACCTCTGTACCATCTCTTTTCTGCACTGAAGAACCTCAGTCTCACAGGACACAGCTGCCCACTCCCCACCAAATTATATTAAGCCCTGCCCACTTACAGTAATAGCAACTCAGTTCTTCATAGAACTCACCATTTTCCTTGCTCCAGCTTCTGAAAAATGTAGAGACTGCTGTCTCTAAGACCAAGAAGCCACTTCAGCAAGAGGGATGGAAATGGAAGCAGAGCACTGAACAGTTTGGAAGCAGATGGATAACATCTGTTGCACCACACACCAGTCAAAGGAGTTGAATTCTCTGCGTGTGACTTATAGATGTGCAAGATGGTCGCCCAGGGTACCCAGTGATCTGGCCTGGACTAGTTCACCCAGCACACTTGAGACCTGAAGCAGAAGAATGGGAAGAAAACGTTGTTGAGTAAGCAGAGAGTGACATGTTTTTAGTTCCTCCCAGGTGCAGGCAAATGTTCCACTTGATAGCATTTGCATTTAAGGCAGAATGGCTCCAGCCTCCAGAACACAAATCTGTATGTATTCTTCATGCCCCTCCATGGGCCTATTTCTCTATAGAGGAAGGAACTGACTTATCCCAGAATAGGAGAAGAAGCCAGGTTTGCTGGAACACTGGAGCCTGATTTCCTCCAGGGAGTCAGGGTCCAGTGATGAAGTTGTGGGTTCACCTGCGTAGCTCTGTCCCTTATAGATCAACACTTTGCTGTTGTCAGGTGCTGTCATGTCAGTTCTGATTCACAGCAACCCTGTGTCAAAGCGAATGAAAAACTGCCTGGTCCTGTGACATCTTCTCATTTTCCCCCTGTGCTTGAGCTTACTGTTGTAGTCATTGTGCAGATTCATCAGTTAGATAAGATTTTTAAAAATTCTATTAGGCATCTATTCCTTTTTTAAAAGTTTTATTAGCATATAATTCACCTATCAGACAACTCAATAGTTCAATCCCATCAAGAGTCGCACAATCATCACAATGAGTTTTAGAGCACTTTCTTCATCCTTGTGCTCATCAATATCAGCTCCCCATTTCCCCCAACTTCCCCTGCCAGACCCCCCAGAAACCACTAACCCAGGAACTATCTACACTGATTGATATTGCCATGGGTACATTTCCAGGACGAATCCGTTTTTCAAGTTTTGTCAATGAGTTCAAGTTTCTTGCATTTTTAACTATGTGCGGTTAAAATCCTTCTATTGTGCTTTTAAAGGAGCCCTGGTGGCACAGCCGCTTAAACACTGGGCCAGGCCAGCCTTTCTTACCCATGAGCCCCTCCAGGGGAGAAAGATGAGGCTGTCTGCTTCCATAAAGATGATACCTTCAATATCCCCAAGGAGATGTGTTACTCTGTCCTATAAGGAAGGTACGAGGCAGAACCGACCTTTTAATGTTTTGTTTGTTGTGTTTTTAAAAGGTTTCTTCATTTCATTTATACCATTGTTACTCATAATTGGTTGCTTTTTCAAATTAACATCTTTTGCAATAAACATTTCTTTCTTCCCCTTCAGTTATTTCCTGTCTTGCTGGCTTTGTCCTCACTAGGGCATCACCAGCCCCTAAGATGTGGAGACCTCTGCAAGGGTTCCTGAACACGTCCTTTGTGGTTCAACCCTATAATAAATCCAGCACCAAAAAATCAGAAAATCGTTACGTTTTCTCTAAGGAGCATGTCCTGCCTGTTGCCATTTCTTTTACCCTGCTTCTCCTCCAAGGGGACTTCTAGACTTTCATCTTTAAGTCTCAATATAAATGTTTCCCCTGACACATGTTTATACCAAAGTCTCAAAGCTTCCTTTTATTATTTTATCTAATCCCCAAACCAAACTCACTCTCATTGACTCCACCTCATAGCAACCCTACAGGGCACAGCGGAAGTGCTCCAATAGATCTTTACGGGAGTAGAAAGCCTCGTCTTTCTCCTGAGTTTTACCCAATAGTACACTCTAAATGTAATCCATCTCTTTATTTCTATAATTAGTATTTCCAGCATAAACTAGGAGCTTGTTTAGTGCATAACATCTTAAACTACAAGTAGAATTGCTAAGTCACAATCCACACTGTGAAACTGACCATGAGAGCTCATCCCCGTATGGATGGAGCCGCTGGTGAATCCCTCTGACTATGGACCAGGAATGGGAGAGGCCTTGTTACCACAGAGTACACGATGGGGCGAATTACTGCAGGTGTAGTTGTGACACCTTGTCATTTGACCTCCATCTTGATCTAATGTGTAATTGCTCCAGTTGTCAATGTTTTATTTTTGATGAGGTGTTTCTCTGTTTCATCCTGTCATTGTTGTTGAGCCATTTGCTAGTGTTTTGTTTTGATTTTGTATGTTTTTCTGTATATGAAACCCAGGATGGGTAAACTTATAGAAACAACAACTGGATTAAGTTTCAAAGAGACATGGCAGAGGAGGTTTATGGGAAATGGGAGCTAACAGCAAGTACAAAGAAGAAGAAATGTCCCGGAATTGATAGTGGTGATGGTTGTAAAACTCTTATGTGAATGAACTACTGAAATGTATGAGATGTGAACTGTATGTTGGTGAAATTTTTAAAAACAATTAATTAATTGGAAAAGGGGGTGGGGGGAGAAAGCCCAAAGTAATCAGTATAGTTCTAAATGAACTGCTGCTCTTGCCTCCTTCAAACTGGCTTACACAACTCTCCCCCCTTCTCCCACCCACCCTTTTTTTTCTCTGCTTTGAACATCTTAGATTTTCTTCAAGGAATAGATGATCTTAGGTTCCTGCTACCTCTGGGCTTTACAACTCATTTTTCACAACTGAAAACCCTTTCCAGCCCCCCCACAACACATGCTCTCAGCCCCCCACAACACACGCTCTCAGCCCCCCACAACACACGCTCTCAGCCCCACACAACCATGCGTGTAGCCGAATGAAACTAATTTCCTGAATCTTCACTTAAGTAACTTTCTTCATCAAGAAGTCTAATCTCTTGGGTAAAGTCCTTTTGATTACAGATATCAAAGATGCTCCTGGGTTTTTATTATTTATTTAAAACTGTGCTAGACTTCAAGTGTGTGGGCAGATACAGTACATCTCGCTTTCTTGTTCCTTCTGGCCCACGACACTGATCTCAGATTGAAGACACAAAAGAGTTCACCTGTTGCATATACTCTTGGGCAGCACTATCTAATGGGTCTTCCTGTGATGACAGACATGTTCTGTTTCTGCCCAGTCCAATATGGTAACTATGAATAGTGCGATTGGAACTAAACTTTTAATTTTAGTTTTCACTACTTTTCATTTAAATGGCAGCATCTGGCTAGTAAACATCACAGCTCTATTGAACTTACCAGACAACTAAGTGACCAACATGGCAGAGAGGGTGTGAAACTGTCATTCCCATAATACAGAGCTTCTCCGCTTTTTGGTCACATAGGGAACAGAACTGGGGAAAGCAAAAGCAACGTCCAATTTAATTGGTTTGTATTTGCAAGAATAAGGCTAATGCTAACTCAAACTGGATTTACTTCACTCTGGAAATGGCAATGGCCTTCAAAGAAAGAAGTGGGTGGGAGTAACTGAGGGGATAGAGGGGGCATTTGAAGTGAGACCTGAATTAGAAGAATTATTGAATTCCTATGGTTAAAGCTTTTCTCTAATCATAAGAAATATCTGGTGCAGGAACTAAAAGGCAGTAAAATTTCTGGCATTTTTGAAAACGTTTTAAATACATGCCAGTAGTTTATCTAACACGAGGGTGTTCTAAACCTAAGTCGAGAGCTAAGCCTAAGCATGAACATGTAGGATTTGCAGGACAGCATAAAAAATGTAGATGTTATGCTACATGATTGATGGCTTGCTTGGTTTACAGTGTTTGAATGTGTCTTTGCTGCTGGATGGAGATTAGACTTTCTTGTGTCAGAGAAAGAAAAGAAAGTTCAGAGGCTGCTTTCATAAGGAGGTGTCTCAGAGAATATCTTAGATTATTTATTTTAATCTAATGAAAGGGTGCTGATACCACTAACTGGTTGGAAGGTAGATCTGTTCATGGGGAGAATTTAAAAGTTCTGTCTTGCATATGTTAGATTTCAGAGCCCTGAGTTTATTGCTAACTAGGAGCCCACATCTCAACCTGCATGCTGTCTTCTGGCCACAAAGAATCAAACTGTGACTCCCGAAACTGGTTCTTTTCTTATTTCGGAAGCTTCGAGCTCACTGAAAGGAAGAACATGGTTCTTGGGCTGTATTAGAACTTTAGGAAATATAGGTTGAGATTCTAGTATCTCTTAGGTGGTGAACTAGAAAACCAGTGTTGGGTGAAGGTTTGGATTTAACACAAGTGACAACATTACCAGTCATTTGTCCAAAGGCTACTCCAGTCCAAAATGGGAGTCCTTTTAGAATACTGATCTCTAGGGAAAGAAAAGAAAATAAATGGCACCAGTTTCTACCCAATTGAGCTTACAAGTGGTATACAATGAATGTTGTGATAACTGCAATATTTCCATATTTAACAAAGCAATTACCTTCTCCACATACTGGTTTTCAACAGTGAACTTTTAAATATGATTCCAAAAGCATAAACAAGAAGAGACAAAAGAGGTCAAACTACAGATGGTGTGCATCACTCTTTACTAAGTGACCAACAAACTGGAGTGGAAGAGACAGTGAATCCCCTGAGAGGTGGGACTCGACGGGGCTGCTTTTGTTTTCCTGGGACCTGTAAGGTTTCCACTTTTCTAGCTGTTTTAGTGGAAAGGGTTCGACTTTTCTTTCTCTAATGGGTTTTCCCCTTACACACTCACTTTGGCTTTGACAGACTTTACTGTACTTGGGAACCATCTGTCTGACTCCTGAGAGTTTGCTACCCAAGGTGCTCAGCTAAGCTCAGTTCAGCCCAACTCACTGCCATCAAGTGGACCCTGACTCCCAGAGACAGAGCAGAATGCCCTGAATGCCTCTCCCAATAAGGCAGAGCAGAATGCCTTGGGTGTTCCTGAGACTGTCAGTCTTCACGGGAGCAGAAAGCCTCATCTTTCTCCAGTGGAGCAGCTGGAGTTTCAAACTGCTTATGATTAGCAGTCCAATCAATGCAGTCCAATCAATGCAGTCCAATCAAGCAGTCCAACCCACCAGACCATGAAGATTTCTCAGGGTATACTAGTGGTCTTCAAAAAGTTCCTGAAAATTTTCCATTATCTTTTAATTCAATTTTTCACACAAATATTTTGAAGCTCCCTGTACAAAGGTGGTAAATATGTACAGATAAAGCACTTCAGAAATGGGCAAGACCATGTGGGGTAAGTACCCAGTGATCTACTTCCATAAAGACTGCACCCCAAGAAAACCCTATGGCACAGTTCTATCTGCACATGGTGTCTAAGTCTAAAACAGTTTCCATGGCACCGAGCAATAATAAGTGCACACCCAAAAGGCTTGAAGAAGGGATGCAAATGCAATCTTCACACTAATGTTCACTGCAGCACTATTAAATAACAGCCAAAAGTCAGTGAGGGGGGTGGGGAGAGAAAAGGGGATAGGTATTGAGTTAGTTAATTGTGCCAGCCTGGCCAATAATCACATGTGGGGCTAAATGAAAGGCGGAGGGATAAATGGGTGGTGAGCCTCACCTTTCTAGTTCTCGGGTCTCTTGTTTTGTGATGGTTGCACCGGGTGCAGCTGCCTTAGCAGTTCCCTGCTTCAGCTTGCAAGATTGACTTCCTACAAGACATCCCCAAGAAGAAGCTACATGGACCTATCCCGATGCAGCCCTGGGTGCTGGAGCAGCCGTGTGGAGACTCCTGCTAGTGCTGAGATGCTTATTCCTTCACTGACTCAGCTTTCCTCCTGCAGTCGGCATCATTGCCTCTGTTTTGTGAGGTGGAGGACTTTGTGGACTGGGGTTGGGTTCATGGGTTAATGTTGGACTTGTGGGCTTGGGCAGCATTGGGTTGGGATGTTTTCATGATGCACATTTTCTTTACATAAAACTCTCTCTTATACATGAGTTGCTGTGGATTTGTTTCTCTGAAGTACCTAGACTAATACAGGTATGGAGGGAGAGACATGACACAAATATCCAGTAACAGATGCATGGAAAAAGAGTGGAATATTATTCCAACATAAAAAGGTAAGTTCTCATAAATGACCTACAAAGGTACAATGTGCCAGGGACTAAAAAGCAAATCTTGTATGATACCACTTATATGAAAAATCTAGAATAGACGAATGTGGAGACCAGGGGCAAACAGGAGGGAGGAAAGGAGTTAATGCTAACTAGCACCAAGTTCTGCTAAGGCAGACGGAAACACTTGGAAACTGACAGTGGTAGCATGTGCAATAGGGTTGAAAGTAATGTTACTGAATTGCACATGTGAAAATAGTTACAACAGGAAAAGGTGTTACATATTATAGTGTATATTTATATTAACTAAATATATATTTATATACCATATATATATATATATATATATATATATATATCACATAAACACAAAAGATAGCATGAAGTGACACCATTTAAACAAGGAAAAGAAACTTAAGTTCTTGGTTGGACTGTGCAAGTGAAAGAAAGAAATTTAGATACTATGAAGAAAGAGAGAGGGAAGTAAGTATTTTAAAAATTTAATACGAGCCTTAGACTGTACTAACCAAGAGAAATAAAACCACGTTTGAGGTACTGCAGTGTATCAAGAATGGGCTTCTTAAGGTGGCTGGACTTGGCTCTGCTTGTTATTTATTAATTGGAGGGAGAAAAACAAACAAACATAACAACAAAAATCACATGAATTCTGAGTAACAAGAAGGGAAAAAAGTATGCCGATGGCACTAGTGTTCCTAATGATTTCCCCAAAGGACATTATAAATTGAGGTACTTTATATTTGTTCCATAGGGTTTTCAATGGTGTGAGCTTTCAGGAGCAGAACACCAGGCTTGTCTTCCAAGGGACATCCTGGATGGGTACCAAGTGCCAATCTTTTAGTTAGTAATCTTTTTTTTTTCCTTAATCATTTTATTGGGGGTTCATACAACTCTTATCACAATCCATCCATCCATCCACTGTGTCAGCACATTTGCACATTTGTTGCCATCATCACTCTCAAAACATTTGCTTTCTATTTGAGCCCTTGGTATCAGCTCATTTTCTTCCTCCCTCCTTCATGAACCCTTGATAATTTATAAATTTTCATGTCTTACACTGACCAATGTCTTCCTTCACCCACTTTTCTATTGCCCGTCCACCAGGGAGGGAGTTATATGGAGATCATTGTGATCGGTTCCCCCTTTCTCCCCCAACCTTCCCCTAGCCCTCCTGATATTGCTATTCTCTTTAATGGTCCTAAGGGGTTTATCTGTCCTGGATTCTCTGTACCAGTGTACATGCTCTGGTCCAGCTGGATTTTTAAGGCAGAAAAGGAATCATGAGAGTGGGGATGGGGGGCATTAAAGAACTAGAGGAAAGTTGTACGTTTCATTGGTCTATACTGCACCCTGACTGGCTCGTCTCCTCTCCACGACTTAGCTAGAATCTTAACCTCTTTCGCCAATCAGGGACTGCCTACTTGATTCGTCTACTTTGTAAAATAATTATTTCAAAAGATGAGGTACTTTTTGCAACACTGTAATGTGGCTTACCCTTTAGCACTTATGCAAATATTTTGATTAGTTTCATTATACCTGCCTCCCATTTTGCCCTCATTCCTAAGAAGTGCTGTCCTGACATTGGGAATAAGAACATTTTTTTTTTCCTCCAAGAAGGCTTCAACTTCTTAAGAAGTGGTTCTTTGGTAGCAAAATTTGTGGTTCAGTCAGCAGCATTCACACACTCTGGGTATGTGATCTCTATAAATCTCTCACTGCTTATATTAACCACTACATTTTATATCAGAAGAACTAGGGTTGACTGTATTGTTCTTCACACAATGATGAAAATTTCTCTCACAGCCAATGAAATTCCTCAAAATATGCTTATTTTCCTCCTAAAATTGGGACAAATATGATCCTAAATATACATGCTAGTCCCAACTCACAATTCTTAATTCTTCATCTGTCTTAAACAGCTACAAACATTAAAGGGAGGGAAGGGGTGTGCTCCTAATAATCTTCATTATTGTATGACCAGCACTTCTCAAAAAAAGCTCACAAGACAAAAATAAAAGCACTTTGCCATGAGTCCATTCTGACTCATAGCCACCCTGTAAGGAGAGTAAAATCACCCCCTCTTTCTCCTGCAGAGCAGCTGAGGGTTTTGAACTGCTAACCTTATGGTTAGCAGCCCAAAGTGTAACCACTACCCCACCAGGGCTCTCTACAAAAAAAAAAAGTGGATCCATACTAGGCTAGAAAATTGTGATCACGATTATGCCCTTCAAAGTAAAAACAAACCCGAATTTCAATTCAGAGACTGTTCTTTACAGGTATTGTCCATGGGCAAGCTATTTGCTTTCTACAAGACTGTTACTTTTAGAAAAAGGTGCACTCTCAAGAGATTAGGAAGAAAAAAAGATGGATCGATATAGTGGGTGCAACAATAGGCTCAAACATAGGAACAGTTGAGGATGGTGCAGGACCCAGCAGTGTTTCTCACCATCATACACAGGGTGGCCTTGCATGAGATCACGGTGTCGTTTTGTAAATAAAAGGTGTAGTAGTTTAGCACCGTATGCAGCACAGTGTCCTGCCCTCCTGTAATACACAGCTCAATAAATGGTTAAATATACAGACAGGCTGCCAGGTGATGGAGGCACTGTGCTGTGATTGCTGTTGTGTGTATGTTAGAGAGTGATGGCAGATGAGGCTGAAGAATTGGGGGTTTTACGAAAGGAGAGGAAGTCAGCGGCATCCCGGTGAGCCGCAGGCTGGCGCGGGGAGGAGCGGGATATTTAGACTGGTCAACGACCCCGAGCATCCCTGAAGACCGTGACTCAATTTTCCAAACTCCCGGGTGACGGCGCTGGCGTTGCTGGCTAAGCAGCACACTTTGGCTCAGCGACGACTCGAACGACTTTTACCTGTTCACGCGTGCACCGAGACACAGGTCCACCCCACCTGGCCGGCCGTCCAGAGAGCAGCCGGGATCTCCGAGGAGGCGGCAGAGCGACCGGGCGATGGCTGCAAAGAGGGGGGGGGGGCTCTTCCGGGGCTGCGGGACGTCGCGAGGCTCGGCAGGGTGGGGACCCCAGAGAGGGCCGCGGAGCGGGAGCGACTCCCCGAGACTCCGAGACCAGGGGCTGCGGGGCCACCTGTGCGCGGACCGAGCCGACCAGCGACGGAGGCGATCCCACGTCCCGGCGGCGCGGGAGCGCGCTGGGCGGAGCCAGCCTCTCAACGGACGCCCACTTCCGCTTCCGGCCCCGCCCCTCGGTGTCACCGAGGAGGGCTTCCGTGCGCGAACCCGTAGGCCGCTAACTAGTGGCCGTGGGGTTCAGGGGCGCTCCCTCGTAACGTTTAGGCTTGGGCCACTGCAGCCCTCATTTGTCCTGTCGAGATAAGCTTGGATGCTCTTAAAACCATCTGTGAACAGGAAGAGTCGGGAGGGCGGCGCAGCCCCCGGCAGTATTTCGTTAGGTCGCCTGCGGCCGGAACCGTCTCCAAGGCACACAACAACAACAACAACATACAGGAACAACCACCACCACCTACAGGAACCGAAACGCGGACTAAAGGAATCAAACACATGCCCGGAGCGCAGGGAAATGGGCATTTGCTGGTTTGGTCAGTTGGGCACAGACGTTGGGCTGCTCCCCGCTGTGTGAACCCAGCAGTCGCGCTGGGGGAGAAGGTGAAATGTCCACCTCTGTGAAGGTTGGCAGTCAGGGAAGCCTTGCAATCCTACTCCGTCCTATCGGGTAGCGAGTAGTCGGTAGCGACTCGAATTTTTTTTAAGAAATATACTTTCTTTATTCCTCCTAAATCTTTCCCGTCTTTCGAATTGCTAAAGTCTCCGGTTTGGCTTTGGTTTCACGGTTGGTTACCAGGCATCTTTCCCAAAGGGGTACAGGCCACAGATTGTGCGAAGCCAGCCTCATCTCTCCAAGGGCTGAAAAACCCGGCGAGCGTTTTCCAGGGTCAGAGGTCTGAAGGGAGAAATAGTGCTGGGGGCCAGTGGGTCAAAGACGCACCTTTGAAAAATGACTATCGTAATAGTGTTTGCTTTGTCCTCCTATTTACACACATACAATGAAGTGCTGAATGTGTACTCATCTTAAATGGACAACTCAGTGAATTTTTATATCTGAATTTATGCTCCTGTAATTTATATTCATATAAACGCTGAGATCAAATTGGGGAAATTTTGACGCACACATGACGATTCACTCCTGCCATTTTCCAAGTTAATATTTGCCCTAGGTGTAATCAGTACTTGGAACATTACTGTCAGAGACAACATCTGTCCATTCTTGGCCTTTGGTTAACTGGAATAATAATGTATGAAGTATATGGTGTCTGACTTCCTCTAGTCAGCATAATGTCTGGCACGATTCATCTATATTGTTGTACAAAGCTGTAGTTTGCTATTTTTGTCACAGTATTTTATTCCAGTGGATGATATATCACAATTATATTAATTTCTTATTATGTTGTTAAAGTTTGCATTAGAACCCAGCACATGGTCATCTTGCTGAATATTTGATGAGCACTGAAAAATAACGTGTCTTATGCTTTGTTGGAAAATATTCAATAAGCATAAATTAAGTCAAGATAATTGATGGCTGCTGTCACTCACTGCCACAGCTTCAAAAAGTCATCACCAGACTACCACTTGATGGACGGGTTGAACCCCATCCCTACCCCCCCACAGCTACCATCAAGTTGACATAAAATCTAACCACCACACCATGGTTTGCCAGAAGAAAGAACAAATCTATGTTGGAAGAAGTACAACTAGAATAATCCTTTGAAGTGAGACTGGCGAGACTCCATCTTATGTACTTTGCACATATTAATCAGGAAGAAGCAGTCTGAAAATCGACGTGACGTTTGGTAGAGAATCAACAAAAAAGGAAGACCTTCAGTGAGATTCATGGCTAGAACAGTAGGCTCAAACATAAACTAGTTAAGAGGATGCCGAAGGGCCTGGAAATGCTTTGCTCTGTTGTACATGAGGTTGCTATGGGTCAGAACAGAACGGTCCCTGACAACAACAATGATAAAGAGAAATGAGTTATTAAAAGGCATGTAAATGTGTTAGTCAGGCAGGCATGGTTCTGCCTTTGCGAATGAATGTTATTGAAAGTTTTGCCCTATCCCAAACCCTCATTGTTTTTGTAAATAGTGTCCATTTAAGTTTTTAGTCTGTACAAGTTAGCAATTCATTCTTTCAAACAGTTCTTATACTAATCGTTTAAGCATAAAAAAATAAACATACTATTTAGCAGACCTGAACATAAATAGTTTTCTTTAAAAATGAACTTCCAATTTCAGCAAACTCAATCTAACAATAACAAATACCTCTGCTTCCTGGTGAAAGCAAGAACACTAGAGTCAGAGACACCATAGGCTCCCCACCAGGACCATCCTTATTCAGGCCCCTGGAATACACCATTCACCGAGGCTCCAATGTGAAGTCATAGTTCTAATCTTGGCCCTGCTGGGCTCTGAGAGCCTCAGTGCATTACTTAATCAATCTCCTAACTTTGTTATGAAAGATTAAGAGACGCATGTAAGGTTAAATGTTATTGGGCATGTAACGTGCTCAGTTAACAAACTCAGCAAGTGATTATTTAGAGCCAAAGCCAGTACAAGAGAAATGACCATCAGTATAATATTTACTGAGCGTCTCCTATAAATCAGGAGCTGTCTCATCATTAACATTGTCCCATCATGAACCATGACATTGGTAAACAAGCATGTGAGAAAACTATTTTCATGTTACAGCTAAGGATGATAAGGTCAATAATAGACATAAATTTGCTAAAGGACACATAGCCAGCAGATGAGGAAGCTACCATTCAAACTGAGGTCTCTCACCCTGGTCTTCAAATTCATCCACACTCCCTTTCGTTCATTAGATGACCGGCTTTATTATGCAAGGCAAAACTGCATTGATAGACTAAATGTTAAGGGGCCAAAGAACAATCAATGACAGCAGGAATTAATTCCATTAAAGAGATGAGATGTAAACCCTTAAGAATGTGTTCGTTTGAAGTATACAGAAGGGGGAGGAAACAGTGGTCCAGGTGAAGAAACGGCACAAGCAATGGTCCAGAATATGGACTGTGTATGGTGGATCTCAAAAGCAAGAAAGGCCTGTTTCTACTGGTAAGCACATGTGGAAAAAATGAGATAAGGATGACTAGATGAGTAGAGATAGACTGCTGGGCCTGGAAAGGCTAAGAATTTATTTCTTGGATGGCAGAAAATAATGAAAATAAGCAGAAATACAATAGTGGCAGTGCTCAATCTGGCGGGTACAGAGCTTCAAGATGCAGGAAGTGCATGCAACCAGGTGTGTCATCACCAGGTGAAAGATAATGCTTGCATAGCTTCTTGTGCTGGGCACTGAGCTCTGCAGTTATTGAAAATATTGTACACTGGTACAGATAAGAGCTGGAAACACAGGGAATCCAGAACAGATAGCCTCTCAGGACGAATAATGAGAGTAGTGACACCAGGAGGGTAAGGGAAAGGTGGGGGGAGAAATGGGGATCCAATCACAAGGATCTACATATAACCCCCTCCCTGGGGGACAGACAGCAGAAAAGTGGGTGAAGGGTGACATTGGTTAGGGTAAGACATGAAAAAATAATAATTTATAAATTATCAAGGGTTCATGCAGGAGGAAGGGTTGGGGAAGGAAGGGGAAAAAGCTGGTACCCAGGGCTCAAGTAGAAAGAAAATGTTTTGAGAATGATGATGGCAACAAATGTACCAATGTGCTTGACACAGTGGATGGATGGATGTGATAAGAGTTGTATGAGCCCCAATAAAATTATTTTTTTAAAAGAAAAGATATCAAAAATAATACTGAGGTTCAAAGTTTAGGTCTCAGTAAGAACAGGGTGGCATTTTCTCAATGAACAAAACTTCTGTAGCCTCTTATGCAAGCCCCTTGACCTTGGAGCTCAGATTTTAGAAGAGCAAATGGTAAACAAGTACCAAATAAATACACCTGGTGACAAGTATACCATGAAGAAAAAGTCCTAATGGTGCCAAACAGGAGTACTCAGGAACGATCTTCCCAAAGAGATGCCATGAAAGCTGGAACCCAACAGCTACAGAGATGCCAGGTGATTTAGAAAGAGGAAAATCACAAATAAAATGCCTAAGAGGGAGAATGAAACTTGATATATTTCAGGCATCACAAGGACACTCAGCAGTTCCTGAGTGTAAGCTTGGGTCCAGCTGTTTCCTGGCACCCAGAATGTACCCACAAAGAAATGCCAAAGAAATTAGGAAGCTTAGAGTCAGGTGATCCAAAAGGGAAAATCTGGAAAACTGGAACATCTGAGGCACTGGAGAGGGAAATTGGAATTCCTTGGACTAGAGCACAAAGACTTGGGAGACACTATGACTCAAACGTCCAGCCCTTCACAGCACATAACACAATTATCAGCAAAGCTGTACAACCATGACCAAAGGTGTTACAGAATGCACAGTTCTGATAAGAAAGCCATGATGACATTGGTTTCCAGACACCAGTCTATTAAAAAACAAACATGGAAACACAATTCGTTATGTGGACACCCAAGACAGTCAAATCTTCCCACAATTCAACATCCTACTATTTTCTGGTTGTACCAAAAATATAAGCAACCAGTAAATGATTTCACATCTTTAAAAAAAATAGCATTTTTTTTAAATGGAATGAAGTGGGATTTCCTCTTTCTTAAAACTGTTCCTAGAGCTACTAAAAAACTTGCATTTACAAAATAACTGAGAAAAAGATTCCTCAGAATTGTACAAGGGAGATAGCAGGGCCCACTGACGAGACGTGGTAGATAAACTTGGCTTCTTTTTCTCATGCTTCATCAGAGGCTGGGCTCTCCTCTTTGTCATTTCTCCATTTTCTACAGCTACTTGTTTAGCTACTTCAGCCTGTTCCCTTTGCTCCCCCATTCCCTTTGGCTTGCACTTGTTTTGTCTGAAGATGTATCCTTTCCTGCTGCCTTTTTTGGCATCATCTCCACTTTTGCAGGGCCAGGTTTTCCTGACAATAGCGCTGATCTCTTCTGGGGCTCTTCCTTCACCGCCCCTTAGGCCCAGCTGACCTGCCTTTGG